ACTCCCTGCAAACGGTCAATGATTTTCGCCATCGTTGCAATGGCAAGGCCTTCCAGAACACCTTCCATGCTCGAGTGTCAGCGGAACCCGCTCTGCCGCTGGAAGGCCCTCAAGCCCAGAGCTTTTTGGGTTCTGAAGGATTAGGGCTTATGGTTTTTCGGGCTTAGGGCTTCTGATTTTTAGGGTTTCCGGTTTTTAATTATTCCAGGGTTTGGGCTTCGGGCTTCTAAGTTTTAGGGTTTGGGGCATAGGGTTTTTAGGGTTAGTGAGTGTTTAGGGCTTATGTTTTCTAGGGTTTAAGGCTTATGACGTTTCGGGTTTAGGGCTTTTAAGTTTTAGGGCTTAGGGCTGATGGTTTCTAGAGTTTATGGATTTTAGGGTTAGGGTTTATGCCTTCGGGCTTTCAGGGTAAGGGTTTAGGGCTTACGGTTTCTAGGGTTTAAAGCTTGTGACTTTTAGGGTTTAGGGCTTTTAAGCTTGAGGGTTTAAGGCTTAGGGTTTTTAGTGTTAGGGTTTAAGGCTTATGGTTTCTAGGGTTTAAGGCTTATGATTTTTAGGGTTTGGGGCTTTTGGGTTGTTGGGGTTTCGGGCTTTCAGCGCATTATGGTTTATGTCGGGGTTTGGGGTTCTGTAGTTTTTTAAAATTGGCAACGAATTAGCTGGCTCATTGGCCAAGCGAGGGGGGGTAAAGGAATACGACTCTTTGGGCCGATTCCCCGTTTCCCGCGCGGCGGCACTTTCTCCTCCTGAAGTAGGGTATTCCCCCTCGGAATGGCTTGCTCTTTCCCCTGAAGCTCCTTGGCCTTATACGGAAACATACCCCGCTGATGCCAAAACTCCCAGTTTCTCCCAAGAAGCCTTGCCTTGGATTTCTCCCTTTACCTTAGAATGTATCACCTCCTTCCAGGCCCATACGGACCTCACGGAGCAAGAAGTTAAACAACATCGCAACAAAAATAATTAAAGAATTGGCGCATAAGGATGAGAAGCAATTTATATTGCAACATCTCCAGGAAGACTTCCATGGGTCTGCTATACAACAATGGCACACAGCATGCTCCCTGCGCAAAGATTTTCGTCCTTCTCCCACTAATCTTATAAGCTCCAAGGGCAAGCTAGTCTCACGTCCCGTTGGGGCTGAAACCTTTGCGGGCTATCTCGCCAATGAAGTTTGGAAGGCTCCTTTCCCTGAGGTTCCCCCGACTCTCCCGCCCCGAATTACGGCCACAGGCCGCGCAATCATTGACCGTGGAAGAACTAAACCTGGAATTATGCGCATTGCGCAAGCGCAGCGCCTCTGGCCCAGATAAGGTGACCGCCGAATTTTAGAGGGGGCCCTCTATATCTTTCGCATGTACCTCTTGGATCATTATCATCACTGTTTAACTTTGGGCAAGGCTCCGTTTAGTTGGTTACATTCCGAAGTAGTGATGCTTGTGAAAAACTATCAAAAAACACTAAGTTTTGGCAAACTATCGCCCCATTTCTCTTACCAATACCATGTGCAAGATCTACTCATTTCTTTTTCAGAAACGACTAACAGCTCACTTCGATGACCGTATCAGATCTACCCAATTTGGTTTTCGAGCAGGCCGCTCAGTCACGCAGCCCATTCTTATACTCCATCGACTCCTTGAGGTGCATGAGCGCCAGACTGAACCCTTTCACGCCATCTTCCTGGCTTGGGTCAAAGCCTTTGATTCCGTTACATTCTCAGCTATTCAAGCCTCGCTTCAGAATATGGGATTCCCCTCTTCTTGCAGAACAGTTACCTCTTTTTTGTATCAAAACCCGACATTTGTGGTCCAAACACGGGGCCTGCGTCAAGGCTGCGCCTCTCACCCTATCTCTTCAGTTTTGTGCTTACGCATGTGTTTGAAACTGTCGAAACCACATATGAGGCTGAACATGGACTCATCTCCGGCGTGCTTCGCCTGGGATCCTCCCTATGGGACTTAAAGTATGCAGACGACATGGCTTTGCTGCCGAATTCCTCCTTTCAAGCTCAGAATTTTTCCATTTAATTCAACAAGAAGGGGCCCGTCGAGGCCTTTAAAAGTGCGAACATTTGAGAAATAGTTCCCCCCACCGTATGAGTTCTGATCCCACATTTCTCCTTTCCCCGGTCGATGATCTGCAAGTACCTCTTTCGGACGCAGTCAAGTACCTTGGGGTGTAGTTGGAGCCCGCTCCACCGAGCACGAAAACGTTTCCACTAGAGTATTTAAAACAATGGAAGCATCTAAAAAGCTTGCTCCTCTCATGAAGCATGGACATCTCCCTCCCAATTGGGAACTCTTGGTCTACAGATCTGTAGCGTAGTGCAATCTATTTCATGTATGCCATGGACGGTATTCTCCCCACCCCTGCGAAGCTCACAAAACTGGTTTCCATTCATTATAAATGTCTAAAGCGGATTTTTGAAAATCAAATCCTCCTACTACCACAGGGTATTTAATCCCCCCGCAACGCCGTGCTTTTAACCAGAACCTAGCAGAGTTGGTTTTCTCCTCGAGAAGAGTAACCCCCCTCGCAATTATATTCCCAAAATCGACTTACTCTTTTAAGTCACTTGTATCGACATCCGGCTTTTTTGAGAAGCTCAAGCTACTTTTATGCCTTTTGTTGCCTAAAAACATGCCAGAGGATCGAATTGGGAGGCCAAGGCCACTGGGCGGAGTCCTGCAATAGACTTGACGCAGTCGGACATTCCGCCGCCACTCCCAAATTGATCACGAGTTTTTATCCATTCCGAGTTCTGCCCCAATTCGTCAAGCACACGCCTCACACTCCCTAGACTCCCTAGTTTGGATGGACAGCACTCCTCTGTATCGCCAAGTATCAGCAGTTGCCAGAAATAGAGCAGTTTGGGTATCGGTTGTTAATAAACCAAGCCGCAAGACTCGCAAGCACGTTTGAAAGGTCGGTGCAGACGGGTTCTAACAGGAGCCCTGTGCTTGCGAAGAACAAAACCACACTTATAAGTCTTGTATTTTCTGTAACCAATTACTAACCTTCAAATATGTCGCCAGAAGAAGCAAAGCAGTTCCAGTGGTGTGTGTGTGTGTGTGTGTCATTCATCTTATTGGCAACCTCTTTCATGTGTCCGTCCGTACGTCGCGCGCATTGGACATGTGCTGCTTTGTTCTCAATCGGAACCATGATGTCAGCTGATGCGACAGTGTTTAGAGGACAAAGCGAGCGGTGGTTCTGGGCATCCGCGGAACCACGACTTTGTGCGATGCACTCACTGATGCAGTGGGTGATGCTGCGAAGGCATGCTTCATCATTCGTCTAGTGGCGGCGTTTCAAGATCTTGCTTGGCTTCAACCAGGAGCTGCACTTTTTTCCAGGTTCCGGAATGTCCCGGGCTTCTTGCCCATAAAGCAATGCTTGTCTGAGCCTTTGACATAGAAACCTGCTGGCGATCAGCCTTGCTCTTTGCTTGTCCTTCCCAGGCCAGCGCCCGGGCTGTTCTTGAACGAACGCGGTCGGCCTTGAACGAAGCACTGAAAGAAAATTCAGGTGCAGAGTTTTCATTGCACAGCCGATGCCGCCTCTGTGCCAGTTGGCCAGGCTACAGCCTTGTCATCACCGGGCACAGTCTTGGAGCCGGCACTGCCATACTTTGCACGATCCTTCTCAGTGCTCGCTTCTCAGAGTGATAGCCAGGATCAACTCGCAAAATGATCCTCGTGTGTTTTATGCTGCAGAGGTCAGTCCGCTTGATTCTCGACCTGCCATGAAATGCTTTGCTTTTGCACCACCGCCTGTGGTTGGACCTCTAAATAGCCCAAGCCTGAGAGCCACTCGGCTGCAAAACGCCAGGGATTGGTTGAACGTGGCTGGTTTTTGGTGGTCAGTTGCTTTGCCAGTACGTTCAGCCGAGCATCTGCTTCACTTCAAGTTAAAACTCAAAATTGAAAGGCTTTGGAGATTCATTCGTTCATCAATCGCGCAGACATTGCATGAACCTCGGAGAGGGCTTCGGTCGAACATTGCTGAGGGAAACAGCGGATTCTTCTGGACAGGTGCCACGAGCAAGTCTGGCCAACGTTTTTCACCTCGGCACGGGACTCACGATCTGATTTTTTTGGGACTCTTCTTTGCACTGAATCGTCACGGACTGAGGACAAGAGTGCATGGCAGTGGATGGACTGGAGATGGATTTCCTACACCGCTTCATCCTGATGCGGAGAGATCCGAATCCCGAAAATGAGGCAGAAAAACAGGCCTGCCAGAGAAAGCAAGCAGAAGACGTGCAAGAACCTGCGAAAAGCAGCCACCGAAATTGACAGGCTCTGCAAAAGGTGGTCGGAAAAGTACGCGATTGCCGGCAACTGCGGAAGCAGAAGGACCATGAGCTCGACCCACAGGATCCGATGGACTGCGAGCAGTCTTACGGAAGCTTGTCGCGAGGTCCTTCCCTCCACTTTTCGTTCCTGGACAGGTATGCAGCGGTATGCATCATGCTTTCCACATTTTCAATGCATAGGATAGGTTCTCAGTGGACAGCATTTCCCGATACCGAAGGTGTACTGGATCGAATGGCTGGGTAATTCTGGCAGTGTGCAGGACCTGTTGAGGGCATGGCTGCAATTTGTGCCCCATGTGCCCACATTTGAAGTCATGCAACCAGGACACACCCGAGGCGACTGCGGAGAGAACACCCAGGAGAATCGCATACATATCGACAAGCGCACGGGCTGCTCACTAACCGGGATACATAGTGCAATCCTGATGGGCGCATGAATGTCTTTTCACATCAGGCACCTGGGCCGAAGCTGTAGCAGTGCCTGGCAGAAACTTGTAGATATGTTGCTGGTTTAACGAGGTCTCTTGTTCTGCCACGATCGCGGACGATGTGTTTAGTTCTGCTCGTGGTCTGCTAGCCTCTATCACCAACTGCAGGCCATAGCACAGAGCGCTGCCCAGTGGTGACAGCGACCTCCGCCACGGCGCCAATTCAAAAACGATGCTCTCCGAGCACTCCCCAATCATGTTGCCTTTCGTATGCACTGCTCTCAAAAACCGCTGCCGTCGCAGAGTCGGCATGTTGTGCAATTCGGAGGCCTCAGAAGGTGGGATGAAGGTAGGTGGGATATTCCCAAATAAGAGTCCGGAAACCTTTTGAGCCTCCGACCAACTGCAGGTGAGGCGGGAGCAAATACAATTTGTGATATAATTTGCTCTTCATGCTGAATGTGTGGGCGAGAATTGTTCAACAAGCACGTGCGTTTGCCAACAAGCTTCGGGCGAAGTCGCACGTCGGAGTTGACAGTCACGAAGCTGGTCCTGAATTTGGAGATTGATCTTGGAGGATGGGACCCCCCAGCCAGCACAAGCTGAGCGAGCGAGCCAATGAAAGTTCAGTTCGGCATGGAGGTTCGGGGATCATGGGCTTTGCTGAAAAACCACCGCTCGAGGACGACTGTCGAAACGGATAGTTGCGGTAGTGCTATCATTCGGGCAAGCGGTCGTGTAAAACTGATTGTAGCCGACTTTCACATGGTTTCACGAATTGTGTGCACGAAGCCAACCACAAGCGAAAGGCATAGCGCTGTGCAGAGAATCGTTCGGGACCAGAGTTAGAGAACCAAAAGAGTGAAAGCAAGGTCGTGTGTGGTCATAGCAGTTGTGTGCACGTCGGCTGATTGGAACCAATGGAACTTCAGTAGTTGCAAAAGGCGCATGCAGAGTGAGTACAAAACAGATCCGTGCAGGATACACGTGGCTTCTGCCACCGAGTTCCAGTCTTTGTGGCCTGTTTCTACATTTTCCCCGCATTTTTCGAGAGAAGCCAAGCCATGCCAAGCCCTACCCTACGGCCCCGGCCAGGTCCTTGCTGCTGCGTGGAGGCACGAACGCCCTGAAGGACCATCTGCCTGGAGCCCGGCAGACACGTGCCTGCTTTGCATCTTTTTTGCTGAGAGGCCTGCTTTGCTTCTGAGCAGCTGGTGCATGTTACTGCTTTGCTTGTAGCGGCGTAGCTTTTTGAAGTCAGAAGGTGTGGCAACTACAAGGAAGCCTTGGACAAGTACAAAGTTCACCTGCAGGCTTAGCTACAATGCCGTCAAGCCGTAAGGAATCCTGATGTGTCCGGCTTTGGGCATTGCTTCCTGCGAAAGGCGAACAACGGCTGCTTTTGTGTGGTCAGCTGACGCGCCCGGCTCCTGCATTGGTACTTTTAGTAAGATCTTTGATGCAAAGTCATCCGAAAAACACACCTTGAAGCTACACTTTCCGAATGGCTTTGGAAAACCGTTGGAATGTATTTCCTGCTCTTGAGAACGTGGATAGCAGCATGCACCGCAAGATGCGTCATTCTTTGCAGTCGGTTGGGTGATCTTACCAGCGCTGCATTGGATAATGTGATGTGAAGACCCTTACACAATCCAACAGTGGCAGTGAAACCTCGCAACTCGCAAGTCCTCCAAGGCAACACTCTAGCTGCTTTGGAGATTATGTTTATGTACTTGAAAGTAACCAATTAGACAGCACTGATTTGCCATAGTACTGTCAGCGGCAGCATCTCTGTCCAAGCATGTCTCCGGGAACCAGGCGACCGAGTGTTTATTGCACTTGCTCTTCTATTCCCCTTGCTCTGGCGGCTGCTTTCTCTCCAGGCCGGCAGACGGATCAAAATCAGTTCAGGTCACTAAGCTGAGCAACCAGTGCGCCACTCAGCCAGCTGGAAGATGCTGTTAGTAGTTGAAGGGCTGGGCTTCCCAAAATCCGTCATCCTTACATGCAGGATTTCGCGACACTTTAAGCAGTTCGGTCTGCGCAAGGCAAAGCTGGCCTGTCACCAGTCTGGTACCTTTTTCTACAATTGCACCAGGCAGAGTTCAAAAGGCAGAAGTCTCTCCTCATCGAGAAAGAACTTCAGGTTTCCAGCTCTCCCCAACCGCAGCATCATCGGTGCCTTCGGCAGCCTCGTTGGAGGCTCACTTCAAAGCCAAGCACGAGACCGAGCGTGCGGAGGAGGGTGGCCGATACTGCTAAGGCTGTAAGGTGTCGGTTGCACTTTTCATGTCTTGACAGGGAGATGCTTCGGAAAGACCAGCGGCTTGGCAACAACGACCGTGCAACCTAGGGCGAGGTCGGAGTTCGTCGAGCCTCAGTCAAGCCTGCCTCCGTGCGGCTGGATCAAAACCTCGGACGGAATATGACTACAGGACTTCAGCAGAGGACCCGCATCAAAGAGCGAGGATGTATGGCTTCAGAGGAAACCTGATCGACGGCTCTTTCGTTACATTCGTTCCTCATAGATAGATGCAGGCACGATAAGGCACGATAGTGTTTGATGCCACGTATCTCGCTTCTGATTACCAGCTTTTTCGCGATCCCTGAAACCCATTTCTGCCTCACCTCCTTGAAATCCGACCGAGCCCTGATCTGGCCTTCCATCTTCCATTGTGTTGCCACCCTTCACAAGAAGGTGAACGTCCCGTGCAGCCCCATGAGTTGTCACCATTACTGCATCTGTGTTGAGGCATCAAGCCCAGCGGCCAGCCCGAGCAGCAAGGCGAGGGGTCAGCCGCGAGCCTGGCGGAGCGTGTCCGAGAGTATACGAAGTTTTGCTGGTTGAAACTAGTGCCCACCGATTCCCCAGAAAACCACCATGTCTTGGCTGCGGTTTGCAGCGCGAGGCATGTGCACGACCACTGAGCTACTGAATACTGTTGCACAGCTTTGAGTGATCCAGTAATATCCAGTAGACTCCTACTCCAACTCCTCGTCCTCCTCCTCCGACATCCTCTCTCATGCCTACGTCTTTCTATTGCTACTGCTACTACTACCACTACTACTACTGCTGCAGCTGCCGTGCTGCTATACTACTACTACTACTACTACTACTACTATTACTACTACTACTACTACTACTACTACTACTACTACTACCACGACTACTACTACTGCTGCTACTACTGCTGATGCTGCTACTACTACTACTACTACTACTACCACTATCACTACTACTACTACTACTACTACTACTAGTACTACTACTACTACTACTACTACTACTACTACTACCACTACCACGACTACTACTACTACTACTACTACTACTACTACCACTGCTACTGCTGCTGCTACTACTACTACTACTACTCGTACCACTACTACTAACTACTACTACTACTACTACTACTACTACTACTTCTACTACTACTACTACTATTACTACTAGTACTACTACCAC